TTGTGTTCCACAACCTCGCCGGGCTGGGATATCATTACGGCAAGCCGTTTGCCGGGGTGCCTCAGTCATACATTGATCTCAGTTCCTTGATGACGAGCATGTGGGCATCTTTCATCCACGACTTGGATCCCAATCCTATTGTTGTCAATAAGTCTGTGCATTGGGATGCTTATGCCACGGGCAAACCAGTTGATCTTCTCTTTGATGCTAATACTACTAGCCACATGGAGGCTGATACCTGGCGCCAAGATGGGATTGATTACATTAACTCTGTTGCGCCGGCCTTTTGGCGGTAAAGATACTCCGTACAGGTAATTTGAGATACGTTCATGATCAACACTTGTATTAGGCCTGGGCCGAGTATAATCTCGACGAATTTTCGGCCATCTTCGGGTCCAGTGCCGAGGTACCACCGATTTAACGATCCAATCTATCTGGTACCATAGTTTGTCACCTTCCACGTTGTTCGATCCCTCGGCTCCGACGGCTCCGAGATCTATGCTTAGTCATTTTTTAATATCGAAGCATGTCCGCGGATATAGGTAGTTAATCTATCTCTCAGCCCCTTAACGCATATATAACGTGTCTCAATATAAGCCAAAGTCAAATTTTAAGCGATCTATAAACAGGCCCACGCGTTCATCACTTCGTCACTGATGATCAGGGATCGAAAATCGAGATTTTAGCGCCAGGGACGGGCTCGTAAACTAGTTGCTGTCCCAAAGATTTCCCTCAGATCTTCAACATATCGAGACCAACGTGGATCATGAACCGTGGACGGCAACACCCCAATATTCAATAATGCGCTCCACACCTTCCCGAATACGCTCGCGAACTATATGAGCTTCACAGCCCCTCCGGATCGAAATCGAAGGAACTGCGGTGAGACACACAGCAACGGGCCCCCCAAGGTGGGCCTCCCGGCAGGAAACTCCGTCCACTGATGCGCGCATCATACTATCCAGATGGAGTCAAGTCCCCACAGCACGCGCTTATTGCGCGGGTCAATCGACAGTGACTGGTAAAAAAAAAGGCAATGTTGGGCGAACTACTAGGCCGCATCCCCACTACACCAACTAGTGGGAAGAAGTATGTACATGCAGTAGCGTCCTCGGGGACCATCTACATGAGGAAAACAAAACACAAATCACTCAAAGAAAAGGAAAGGGGTGAATACAGTATGTGTCCGCTGGCCAAATGGGGATCAGTGACGTGGCTGAGTCCACCATCTGCTCAGCAGACACCGAAACTCACATACCAGACAACTCATGTGGCCATGCACTTCAATAGTGTAACGTGAGTTACATATAGATGTACAGATCCAATCTCACCGCCACAAATCTCAACAATCGCGCTTGGCTTGGAGCCAATCTCAGATCGCAGGCGGGGAGGGCTGCATCGAGTAAGGATCACCTGGACAGCACCATCGAGATCAGGGTGGAAAATCTACGATCTGGAAAGTTTCATGCAGGTCTGGTAATTTTTCAAATAGCTTAGTTTCGATTTTCGAATCCAACATGTACAATTACTCGATGGGGACGTGTACATATGCAACCAGGCTGCAAGCCATCTACGGAGATCTGGCTCGATCTCGCTCTCGATCCGGGGATTCGGGCAGGTAATAGTTAAACCAATCTCGGAAGGATGCGGATATGGAATTATTGAAAGCCTCATGCAGCATCTGGTGGATGGAAATGGTGTCCGACCATAGCTGGATGTGATACTCCTGTTAGTAAGTATGCATGGGTTGTACAAAGCAAGTACTGACAACTGCATTACGATACACGGAGTCCCTTAGTCGAAGCGTGGAAAAAGCAAAAACCAGAAAGCCTATTGGCGAACTAACACGAAAATAGTATTAATAGTCGTCCCAGCAGGCTGGATGGTCGATTTATCTCCACTCAACGCCACAAACTAATGCGATTTGCCCCACTGAAGACAGCCAGATAAACTTTGCAGGAAATAAACCGTCCTCTAAGGTGGCAGTGGACGTGGAGTCCCTACATGTAGACCCAATAATCACACGGGAATAACCGGGGGCCTGAGTGCTGCACAGGCAAAAACAGGCAAAACGGGTTGGCTCCGGCGGGATTTGCTCCCACGCTCCAATCAGAATGCACACGGTAGGCGATCTGTCGATTAGGTTCCCGCAATAGGTTCTCTCATGCTGGGACGGGTGAAGAATACTATCGTGATTCCAAGAAGTAGATACTGTAGTACAGACAGGGGTGCTGGACTTGGGGGGTTTCGGATAGATCCGCTGCAGCTGGGACTGCAATGCCAGTTGTAAGAGAATGCACTCACATGTACTGTCTGCATATATCGAGATGTGTGGTACTACTGCAGTACTACTGTACGTACGTTGTGTCGGGTGCAGATATCCACGGCCAAGTTCGATAGTCTACGTTTAGTGTATCATTAGACCGCCATATACCCCAAGCAAACGCACCGAAGGTAGTAGAACGCTCAAAGAACACTAAACTTTGCGCTCCACTCCCCCGACCATTACATTCCACCCTAATTCAGTAAGGTTGGGAGGTCTGAGAGCAAGTAAATACGGATCTACCACTTAGCTTACAACTTGCCACGTTAAGATCCCGCGTGGATCTCAGCTATGACATACACCCACATTTACAATGCACTGTACTCCGTCGTAAATGGTGTACAGTATTGTTCATTTGAGCACAGTTCGCCGTTCATGCCATGCCATGTACATGTACAGTATCTCGCACGATCGCCACATACAAGATAGAGTTTGCGTCGGGCACCGATTCGAGGCTTATGTGCCGTGCGGCATAGGCCTATAGCTGATCAACAGTATCAATGGAGTATTTATGGAGTATATCAAAGTAAACCGTGGCCGCACAGACTTATATTGTGGGGACCAGTCCAAACTTCCCCATGCCATATTAGGAAGTATATCCTTGATGCTTTTGTTACAGTATAGGACGTGCATCTCTCGGCGGTGATCTCGTGGAGTCCAAACCCGATCTATATGCACATTTAATGCGAACCAAAGGTCGCTAGCCTATACCCAAAAACTCGGTGAATACGACGGTGAGCACTACGGTGAACATGGGTTCGTTACCATAAAACCATGGCGCCACGGTCGAAGTTTTTATGTCACCCATCTTCTTAGCGGAGTACAAGGCTCGGAGCCCTCCGAAGAAGTACAATTGAATAGATGCATTAGCAGTTGTTAGATGGGCGGCGTACCCGGGGGCGTTTCGGCCGGGACGGGATCTCGGATGGCGAGGGCGAGGGAGACGACGATGACGATGGCGATGACGATGATGAAATCGAGATCCGAATAGAAGATTGTGTTTCGAAGCCAAGATCTTGTGGCAAGATCCCTTCCCTATGGACCCAGTGTATAGTCCGATCGTGCGGTAAGTATATCTGGGATTACTTTACCGTGTACAGCGTACAAGTCTGTAAAACGAAGCATATCCTGAGCCGAACAATGTACATGATCTCCGCAGGGATAAGCGAACGTGGCTAGGATCTCGATTGTAATGTGGACAAACACCCTAGCTTAAAAAAGCAAAGGGCCCAACACACATTGAAATGTACTGTCGTCACAAAATTGCGTCTATCCCCCATACCGATCCACCCAGTCCCTCTGAACAGGGGTTCCCTAACCAAGTCAATCTCAAATTTCCCTGACAAATCCTGAGACGTTGATCTCCGGTAGCGGTGTAAGAAATTTCCCTGTCGAATCGTTTAATTCTTCCTGTTTCTGCGATCTCATCCTTCCTCCCAATGGATCTGGGATTGTCTCGTGAATACAAATACTTGCAGCGAATAATCGTGCTGTATCGCCCACTAGTTAAATCACTAACCTTAGTGTGGATCATCTATCTCGATGATCTTCATGATCTCGTGAATCTCGCCATTTAGGGCTCTTTCCGCGTCTATCGGTTAAGGAGGGGTTGTTCTTGACCCAGTTCGGGGATCTAGTGTTGTATATCTACCCTTTGGTGACATCAATTACAAGAATTTTATGTTTGATAGTCTTCGTAAGTAATTTCGAGTAATTTAGCTTACTTTTTATTTGTAATGTAGCTTAAGACCAATCGAAAAATGATTCTTCGGCTGAAGCTAACGCCCATACCTCTTCATCCTTCGTTAAGTGGCTAATGCCCTGGAAACGCCGCAACAGAGAGAGGAGTGAAAAGACTAGCAGAACTCTAAAGAGTGCCATGCATCACTTCGGCTGCCACATGGCAAATGGGTTTCCAAATATGTACAAATTGAACATCTACTCCGTACATCTATCTACTCGATTTCTAAGGTTACTTCGGAACCACTTGAAGGTTGACCCAAAGATTGCTGTGGCTGAGTAACTGTCCCGGCCGACACCTCGGACACAACGTCGCAGGCGAACTATAACCAAATACGCAATAAAATTTACATTATGACGACAGTAGTAGAAATTAATAGCCAAATCATTTCATGTTGCCACAATTCCAAAGACCTCATACATAGAAAAGTGCCATAAACATATAAATATCGACTAGGAACATAGATGTAAGAGACGCTGAATGAGACACGATCGTACACATCATATCAGGGACATACTCAAACAGACACGTGGGAGGAGGACAATGGGCCTCCCGGTTGGCTCAGGGAACAAAGATGCAGGGTATAAACCAGGGACAATCTTGAAAGAGGGGGAAACAAATAGCGAGATATAAGGAAACAGAAACCAGTTTCAGACAATGGCAATTGAATCATCAAACGGGGGAATCTATGCTGATGCCATTTTTCTCCCAAAAGGTAGAAGCTGTGAGGGTATTATCGAAGGGTACCGAGTAGAGGAAGGTCCCTGTCAAAAGAAAAGAAAAGGAACGAAAGGGGAATAAAATCCCAAAATAAGAAAACGGGATATGCCGAACGGGGGATAAAAAAACAGAAACTCATGACAATCCCAGGAAAAATGGGCCAAACTCCTTTGCCTTCTATTTCCCACCTTTTCCAACGCCACATGAAGAAGAAGCTTAATGACTGGTTGGCGAGGCGGAGTCAAGGGCCGTCTTCGGCTTGAGATTTGAACCCAGGCTCGCCGCCTTGTTCGCGCCCATTTTGCGAGTCAGCTTGGCATAGTGCAAGCCGCAGGCGTTACACAGCGTTCGGGCACCATCTGGACCCCGACGCCATTCCGGTGTTTCGGCTCGGTTACAGCTGTGGCAACGACCAGGAGGGGCCGCCTTCTAAAAAACGTGGTGGTTAGCCAAACATGCTTCGAGCTGTGGGGATTGACAGGGTGTCAACCACGGTGACAGGGCCAGGGGAAAGCTGGAAAAGGGAAATGATGAACGGGGTGAAGAACGTCCAGACTTACTCCACGCCGTTTCTTTGGGTCTGCGCCCGCGAAGCCACCCGTGCCCTTGAACTCCTCTTGGTACATGGCCATGTGCTCGTCCTCGGTCTTGAACGCCTTCCTCTGAGCCATCTGTTGCTCGGCGAGCGCCTGTTCCTGGTTCACCACGGCTGTCCGTATCCGGATCAAGGCATCTTGGTTCCGCCGTTGCATATGGAGCATGTCCTCCACTTCGTTTAGCGAAGGGAGGGATCCAATTATCGGCCCAGACCGCTGTGTCTGGTGTGCGCGTGCCGCATAGTGCCGCGAAAAGTCAAGAGTTCGTGTGCTCATATCGGCGATCTATCCCAGTGTTAGTCCCATTATTAATTTCAGAAATCGCGTAAAGCCGTTTGACCGACACCGGGGACCAAATGCCATGATTTCTTGCCGTTCAAAAATAGAAGAATCAAATCTTGCAGGGGAAGATCCATACCTCATTCAAGGATGTCTCCACATCGTAGACGTCCAGATGCCGCTTCACGGAGTCGCTATGGGGTGGACCAGACATCGGTCGGCTCACGAATCCACCCTTGACTTCTTCCACCCGCGGTGCCATGTAAGATCGATTGTCGTAGTGAGGAGGGTATGAGGGGCCCGGTTGAGATGAAAATGTGTAGTTGGGAGGGAAATGGCCGTAGCCACTGGGGGACGCCACGCTCCCGGCCGAGGTCGGCGCGCTGTATTCATACCCGGAATTTTGTGACCCGGACACAGAGGTGAGGCCGGTTTTAGCGCTCTGTGTGGGAGATTTGCCCGTGCTGAGGGAGTGTAGTGACGCGCGCGAATCTTGGGTGTTGATGGAGTTGAGACTGGCCCGCGAGGCTTCGGCCAACTGGGCTTGATGAGAGAAACCAGGTTCCCGCATCATTGACCCGGGCGGTCCATTGAAAGGATTCGGAGGTCCTGCTGGACCTTCTGCGGTCGATCGTCCAAGATGCGACGACGCTGTGTGTGCGGATTGGGGAGGAGGAGCTGAGGTGGGCGCAGGGTAGGGGAGAGGATTGTCATTGCCGAGGGCCTCGTGGATCGATGGAAGGGATTGTCTTGGTTTGTCCTTCTCGTCTTCAATGACCCGACGGGGCTCCGTGGGCGAGATGTACCCCGGTTGGGGAGGGTTGGTCGACGCGTAGGAGTAAGGTAGTTGGCCGTACATGGCGCTTGGGCTCATCATCGAAGTTGGCGAAGCAGTGGCGCTGTTCGTATGGTTCGGAGTGTAGGCAGATCCGTCCTTGCCTAAGAACCCTATCGCAGGCAAAGGGTCTCTGTAGCTCGAGGGCGAGTCAGTCATGATTCGAAGCGCAAAGAGAAAGCGACCAACCTGTGCCTGGGTGCGACTTCCAAAGACCCCATCACGGTTGCTAGATGGACTCTGCTATTTCATGTGCGCCGACGTGGGAAGCAGTGAGATAAAATAGTCAGGAGATCCGGCCGAATTCCCAGAGATTAAGGCCGTCGGAACGCCTCTCGTGCGACTTGGAAAAGTGTTCCACCTGTTCGTGGGAAGTGATGTCAACCCAAGATCCCGGAGAGGGGGGTCGACCCAAGTTTTGACTGTGGCGTTTAGATGGAGCCCGGGTGCGAATTATGTCCGTTCAACACAGTTCAACGCGTTGAAACTGAAGAAAGGGTGTAGATGTCGAGGGCCGAGCGTAGAGGGAAGAGGAGGAATATAAAGAGTATGGAGGGGGCAAGGGGATCGAGGCTAAGAATGAACCGGGGGGAAGCTTAGAAAGAATGGAAGACCGCCAGGAACTTTAAGACAAATGGTAAGGTAGTAAAAATATAAAATATAAAATAGAAATGTAAATGTAAAAGTAAATCAGTAAAATCGTAAAATCGTAAAATCGAAATAATTCAAAGCAAATCCCTAAAAATCAAAAAAATCCCAAAATAATAAAATTAGGGTGGATCGAGATGGGCGGATCGGTAGGGAACAGGGGGTAAATTACAAGATCGTCATGACTGCGTATTACAGGATTAGGGTGAATATAATTAATGTATAAGGTAAGTATATTAATCCACGTTTATTAATATTAACTTATTGAATGACATACAATATACTAGGGTAGGTGTAGACGTAGATGATGGTGTGAGATCTCCAAGTGAATATCTATACCCTGTTCAGACGAACATAGTTAACATGAACATACAGACTAGAATAGAATAGAATATAATAGAATAGAATATAAACTACTCTGTACTTGTACTCGAGCCATCTCTTCAAATCGCAACCGGTCGTGGCTGAGGTTACACAGGATCTCCTGACGTGGCCCGTTCCATGGTTCCCTCGATCTAGATCTCTATCTTTATATAATCGCGCTTTATCTACAGTACTAACTATATTGTACTATATTACCTACGTCACACGCCATTAGCCAAGATCGGGCGCAAGTCCCAAAAACGGGGGAGAAGCACACTAAGAAAAAAACAGATGCTTCACGTCTCGGAGAATGCTTCCCCCTTCAGGACTGGCCGTCGTGCTCACGTTGTGCTTAAGCTTTGGATCGGGATCGGACCACACGGAACGGTTATTGGTGAGATCGCAGACCCTCATAGTGAGGGGAATGTCAGGAACAAAAGATGGAGGACTGATGAAAGAGATCTAAGGAAAGATCTAGGGAAAGAACCTGGCCATAACCATTACCTTTCCTGGCTGTGTGCGTATGAGCTATGTGTCAGACATGCGGATGAAAGCCCGGCTCCGTCACTTATCAATTTGGATCCTACAAAGATACCCTCGGTGGATCGAAAGGGCATAGGCGATCGACTGAAAATATCGACCCGGGTCTTTGAGTTTAAGACCCACGCCGTTGGATGTCATTGTCTTTGGGAGAGAACCTGATCGCAACATCTCGATGACTTCTCTTTGCCTCCGCGCACAGACTCGCGCCCCATAGTGATGTATGGTTCAACGGTCGGCCCAAGGCCTAAACGTCGACGGACCTCCCAAAACGGTCAAGCATGAAAGGCAATCGTCAGATCGTCGGAACTCCAAGGAGCCTTGGGGCTGTTTCACCCCGATTGCTGGAACAATTGGTGTGATATTTATGCAGTTGGCATGTAAACGAGACGACCGTGTCTCAACGGAGCCCCCTGTCCACGGCGTATTCACCGCATGCAAAGAATCCCCCGTCGTCTCGAGTGGTCTTTTGAAGGGGTAATTTTTTTTTCTCCGGGCCTGAACACGAATTGTCGCACAATGGACTTGTTGACGGGTCCGAAAAAACCAACGCGAGGAATCGATCTACATAGTCGCTGCATTGCAGCCCGCACCAGCCGGATCTTAACATTTCAGCCACTCTGCGATGCCTTCCGTGCGCACTAAATCTCAAGTGCATGCACGGTAGGTCACTTCACCTGCCGAGCATGAATGCAGTAAGGATCTTTGCTCCACCGGGTGATGGCAAGTTAAAAAAAAGCAGTCGAAAGTCTCCGGTGATCAGAAACCCCGTAAAGACCCGTGAAGATGCATATCTACAAAAAAATAAAAAATAAAGGTGTCTTGGGCAAGGAGAAGGCCGGAATATTCCCGAGGCTTTCGATCTGAACTATCAGAATCGTAACTCGTCATTGGTGATTGATCATACCAGATCGGAGTATAATTGTTTTTCCTGGAGTCTATTGTGGTTGCCTCATTACGGCAACTGGGAAGTGCATCAACTAGGCGCCTTGCGGGCTTTGGTTCCACTAACGAAAAAAAACAACCAGGCATTCGAATACGGTCTGTATTGTAATTTAGAGAAAAGAAAAGTGGCTTCGGCATTGAAGAAATTCACGTGTCGGCAGCGCCCCTTGGCTTTGAGGGGAAGGAAGAGATGGTGTCTGCACATCTGCACATCCACACACGACCTTCACTTCGGCAACCAATGGGACGTTCACTTTAAGAGCCCCCAATCTCCTCCCCGTCAGAGAGGTGCTGATCCAATTGCAAGATACGACGATTCCTACTCCTGGAGTAGAATGCAAATTGTTGCATCAACAAACCGGGGATTGATCGACAAACCGTTGAAAACCGTTTCCCCTGAGGACACGATTCGGACAAAGACGTTTCAACCTCCCGAAGTCACTATGGCTCGATGTGGGACCTGAACGCTAACTAAAAGGCCGATCAGATAATCCTAACCGCAAAGTAAAGTGAGCGACGACGCTTTTCCTCAAGTTGGAAAGAGATTAAGATCCGATCCCAATTTTAGTGCGCATCGGCCCTGCGACCATCTTTTCGATATGCCCAGGGAATTCTCGGTCGTCAACTTCTAAATTCTGTTCTAGCACCATTCTGTACTGCGTTTTAATTAACACCCACAAAAGGGGGCAATCTATACAAGCATATATTGCATCCGTCCCGTTGGGAGCGATTGAGTCGGCCGTTCATCTGTGCAAATCAATAGCCCCGGGACAAGAGACGGAAATCTCCACTAACGTGCATCCTCAATACAGACAGCACGGTTCACGCCCCTACACAGTAAAATCTCCGGCCACAATCAACAGACCTTGGCCCTCGGCACTGTGGCGCTCAGGGGGTGTTTAATACCAGTGGAGACCCGGGAATCTCTCCGATCTCTAGTCTCAACGGAGGGTTGACAGCTGCAGAGGGGAAGAGAGGGTCCGATCCTGGAGGAAGAGAGTGGAAGGCAAGGGTTCGGAAAATGGCTCTCTGCAAGCCGCCCTACTAGGGTATGCCGTAAAACGCCAAAAGGGGACAGGTGAAGCGGGTCCTGGTTCAATTCCTGCAACGTATGGAGCATCCCCCCGAACATCTCATCGATCTTCGATATTAATCGTGGAGTTTTGTTATTTGCTGATTTTCCTTCGTTTTGCGCTAACTTGGGCGGATGGAACTATTGATTACGGCTCCGCTTTAGCATCTCACGATATGCCGTTAACAAGGGTATGTTCCACGTGGACGCCCTATGGCTTGATACTCCGTATTGGGGAAACATGGGAGTCTATAATCTATGCTTTCCTGGCTGAGTCCAAGCACACGGGATACTCTCGACTAACTAGCCAGCCTTCCCATTTCATGGGAATGGATGAAGCATGAGATACACACAATACTATGTATTCCCTCACGACAACCGTTGCCAGACCCACTGCCAGACCGCCTCGATCGACTTCAATTTCTCTCCATCACTGTATCTCGGAATCTGCTAGCGCCTCCTGAATCGGTTGACGGGCAAGATTAGGCAAAATTGGCGCTTGCTGCCGAAGAGGTCGTTAGAACGTCAGGACTAAATGTCTCACAGAATTCCAGCAAATCCCGAACCGGAGGCACAGTGTGGCTTCATGACCTTCTTTGAAGAAAAACTTCCGAAACACAATATGGGGTGTCGGAGAATAAGTCCCAGACCATCAGATAGTCATTATCCATTGAAACTCCCCTTTCCCAGTGCCAAGGAGCTCATTGAATCCCGAGAAATTCAGCGCGAGTCAACACAACCCCCACAGTAAGCTCATGAAAGCTCATCTCACCAGAGGAAAAGCCAGTAGGCCCAAGTTAGTGCAGAAAGACCCAAATTTGTGCTTCTGCACATCCCCCATCGATCGACACGGATTTAACAAGCGGAAACCGAATTTCTCCATGCCCAGCCCCACGATGAAGAAAACGTCGTCCTCTTGGACTAATTAAGATCCGTCGAGTGGAGTCCAAGGTGGATGTAACTATTTGCATATTTCCAAAATATCAATGGCCTCATTAATTATAGCAACGGGATCGAAGATTGCTCTGTCAGTGCTTCGTACTATTGACTCGCGATATTACTGAGACTTCTGCCGTTTGGCCTGTGCAGCGTAGCTTGCTAATACCATTCCGTGCCGGGCTCCAGCATGCCTTATTTTTTCTCTTTTTTCTTTCCTTTTACGGGTCAACACAGCTATGCAAGTTGCTATCGGTTAGCTCATGTCGAGGATTGTCGTTCGTACAGTAACTATTAGGATGATCATTGATTTATCGTGCAGAAAGTATCAAACACGTTCATAACTAAACATATATTTCCACTTAATTACGAGTCAGCCGGTACAACCGAGGAAGGAAAGGCGTGGCAAACATGACTATCCCTCCTATAATTGGGTAATTTATGGAGAGAGCTCTCCTTGGAAGTCTCCTGGGCGAAAAATCTTCTTTATCAAGATGGGTACACGGATGGAGCCTTGTACATCATCTGCAGCCCCGTTATACGTCAAATCTTCAAATTTCTTTTTTTCATAACAGGACGATCTACATCGGGAACCTGCTTGCTACACTGCGTGGAAGAGTCGAGACCTACGCCAAGGCAGCACAAATAAACCAAAAAGCACAACGTCAGGATGCATGCGTTGCAAATCCCATGCGACGGAATCCTTCCGATCTCGATTTAAGCCGGCGGGTCGGCCGCATCTCGGTCAAGGTGGGGTTTCTGTTCGACATGGTGTGACGATCGTGTTGGTTGCTTTTGTTGTGTTACTTGAAACAATTAGGACCTTACAGTGTGGATAGGGGGCGAGGACTGGCGAAAATTTCAGTAGATAGCTACACGTATGCATGCTCGATTCTTCACGGCAGTTGCTCGGTTTATACTTGACATGTCCAAGCCAAGGGAAGCAAGCCGATACCAAAAGAGAAGGTGCATACAATTTGACAGACTGACAGGTTGACTTGGATTATCAATTTCCTAGGGCCGATTCCGGTTTATCCCAAATCTATGTGCACATCAACCATTGACGGGTGTAGACAGCTGAGAACAACCCTGGACACTGTTATTACCTTACAAGGACACAACAGATACAGATCCTGCCAGGCAAGGTTAAAAAGCTAAAACGCCACAGGTGAGGTAGGCAGAACCGCTTTGGGAGTTTGACAGGTTCTTGTGCATGCATCCAAGACTTTTGACGTATGCATTAACAAGTGGTCTGGGTCTAATTAATATCTATTTGTAGCCAGGACGAATAAGGTGTCTCATAGCTTCAAACAAAGTTCTGTGACATCTGAGCTGCCATGCAACAGTGTGATATCCCCCAACGGGCTATTGGATACTCGAATGCGACAGCTGCTAGGTTCCGTACAAGGTCAGCATTGATTACATTTCGTTAGTCATGCACATACTCAACATACTCCATAGTGTATTACATGGATCCCGTACAGAGTACTTAACTCCTTGGGGAACTGCTCAGGCAAATCCCAAAAGTACAAAATCGTCTCCGTCTCTCATTATTGGGTCAAATGCCTGCGCTATACCTACTCCTCTTCCCTCCTGCACGAGAACGGCTCCCAGATAGACTCGGAAAAGAGAACTGTTTCCTACGATGGAGCGGAGCCAAGGATAATTTCTCGTTTCAAGTCCATTTCCGCCAAACTCCGCCAATAGAAAGATCCGAGCCTATTTCGGGGGCTTCAAGGGAAAGGAGACGGGGCGAACTAGCGACTCTCCTAGATGCGATCGACGAGCGAACAATTGAAGGATCGGCAGTCTTCAAATCAAAAGGCCTCCAGATGTCCTAAAAAGGTGAAAACGGCTGTGGTTTTGACAGGTCGTGAGGTGGAGAGAGGTGGGCCAAACCCACTGTGGCTGGACGAATCCCCTATGATCCCGTTATTTGCTCCCCGATACACGGCCTTGCCCAGGATAGAAGGCGAGTTTCGAGATACCCCTAACTCTCCTAAGCCCAACTCAGCCATGGGCGCCGATGATCTGGGCGGAGAGTCTAGCCGAGTGTAACTTGGGGAATCGTACGATATGCATAGCATGGCCACTCTCTTTGCCTTTGACTGACTTTTTGCTTTGCTTTTGCTTTTGCCATTGCTCAACGCGCAACCCTCAAAGGCTCAATGCGATCTACAGAGGCAAAATCATGTGCTGCCGAGGTCTCCAATCAATGTCTCTCTAGACTGAAGCGCCGCTGATAGCCACCCCCATGCCCCTGCTGTTGTCAAATCCCGGGCTTAGCTCTGGGCCTGGGGCCGGGAGAGAGGTGGTCGTACTTTTGAGTGGCTGGGTCAATCGATGGCCAATGACAGGAGTTGAGGGCCTCGAACAGCGCTCAGCGGCATAGGAAGCCTTTTGGTCCGCCTGCATATGTAATGCAGCTTGCCGTATGGAGTACATTGCAGCCGGATCGAGAGCGTTGTCCATATTACATTGGTAGTCTAAACTTAATTCAAGTCGATACGTAGACTGTCAAGTTGGCTATACCTATCGAGGAGTCATTACCGATCAGACTTCCGTGCCGTAGATGTCTCCTGTCTCATCTGTATCTGAGCTCCATAACCTGATAGCTTCGGCATATGTGCGGCGTTTATCATTCTTCGGCCGAAAGGAGCACAAAATTGCAATCATCATGCAGGTAAACAAAGAAGTAAGTGTGGAAAGAACCAACTCACTTTTGCCCCCAAATGTATACAATCACGTGGCCGTGTCCGTGCGCGAGCTTGGGGTCTCCACTTGAGCTTCCTCACTCCAAATGCCCAACTGCGCTTCGTCCTCTACCGTCATGGCAGCTCTATCCCTCGCTGAGATCCCCACAGTGGCGCTCTTGTACAAGCTACAACGCCTAGCCCCCACAACCTCCCAATTCAAGCCATCGCAAAGCCTCAACAATAGCATCTCCATCATCCGCAATGACATAACCAAGCTGCAAGTCGACTGTATCGTCAATGCAGCCAACGAATCCCTCCTGGGCGGTGGTGGCGTAGACGGCGCAATTCACCGTGCTGCGGGCCCAGAGCTCTTGGAAGAATGTCGCACACTGGATGGATGCGATACTGGCGATGCAAAGATCTCCAAGGCTTATGACTTACCCTGTAAGCACGTCATCCACACAGTTGGTCCAGTCTATTTCCGCGAAAGGCGTATCGATCCCCGTCGTCCCGAGACTCTGCTTCGTTCTTGCTACCGACGTAGTCTGGAGTTGGCTGTTGAGAATAACCTGAAGAGCATTGCTTTCGCTGCTATCAGCACTGGTGTCTATGGATATCCCAGCGATCTGGCTGCAGAGGCTGCTATCGACGAAGTGCGCAAGTTTCTTGGAGGACCTGCCAACATTGGGAAGCTGGAGCGGGTGATTTTCTGCAACTTTGAGCGGAAGGACGTTGACGCATATGAGGATGTGATTCCGTGAGTTCATCTGTTTGACGTACTGCTTAATCAAAATTAACAATATCTCTAGTGAATACTTCCCTCCTACCGCTGAGGATTTGTCTGAGAACACTGATGCTTGAAGTACGTCTCTACAGCTCCACCGATTGAACGATTCTCGCGCCATACAAATGAGGAGACGGTGATATGAATGACCCCGATATGACTCTCACGACAGCCCTATGACACCCCAAAACAACCTTTCAGAGACTCGTGTACCATACAGATAACTACTTAGGTAGCTCTGAAGAAACATGCGAATTAGAGCTGCTTCAGCTTGATAGACTGATGGTTTCCCATCACGACTTCCAAGTAGGGATTACTATTGTAATATCACGATATTCTCTCTCATTTTAAAGATCAAATATCAAGACAGACACCTATAATAGCAAAAATGACACGAAGCCTATGAAGTTGTGGGTATAGAATAATAGAGACGCTATGCAAACAGTGCAAACGCCCTATCAGCGCATTTGAGATCATCGATATTCCTCGATACTGCCTCGTCTCTAATTGCAATTGCACCCTCCCTTTGACACTCAATTTGGCATAACTGAAACGATGAACGCCAATTGAAACACTCCACCAATCCCATTCCCTCAAACGCAAACATCTAACACCCATCTCACCACCAACCTCACCACCACCACCACCCAACCCCGACATCTCCGACAAAAATGACGAAACCGCAACCGCGCAACCGCGCAGCACCTACACCAAACCCCCGATTTCGAGTAAAGCCCCAAGAAGCTCCGACTCCAAAAGCGGCAGAGCCCCCAGCTGCAGCCCCAGGCCCAGCCCTCATCAAGCCAAAGCGCCGCCCGTTCTTCCAAACAAGCCTCCTAACAAACCTCCGCCAACGCTTCGCAAACCTCCCCTCCCCAGTCCGCCGAACATGTCGCACCCTCCGCTGGCTAGCACCCGTCATCCCAATCGGCCTCTTCTTCCCAGAACACGTCATGCAAGTGATGTGGGTGCGCGGACCGTCAATGACACCCTACCTCAACGAGGACTACGATCAAATGCAAACGAAGAGCGATATGGTATTGGTTAATATGTGGTCGTGGGGTGGATTGCTACCCTTCCGGAAGGAGAGGAAGCTTGAACGAGGAACAGTCGTGACTTTCCGGTTAGTGTTTCCTTTCCTTTACTCGCATTTCTTTCTTCAATTGCGACTAGACTGCACAGTCTCGTTATGAAACAATACTAACATACTACTCCCTATATAGATCCCCAGCAAACCCGTCACACATCGCCATAAAACGCATAATCGGTCTACCAGGCGACCGCGTCACGACCCGCGAACCATGTCTGAAAGAGACGCAGATCGTGCCGTGGAACCATGTCTGGTTGGAAGGGGATGCAGAGGATCCGCGGAAGACGCTGGATAGTAATACGTACGGGCCGGTCAGTCTTAGTCTGGTTACTGGGCGGGTATTTGCGGTTCTGGGGCCGCGTATGCGGTGGCTGAATGCGTCGGATTGGGAGGAGGGCGGTGATGGAGATGCGAATAGTCGGGTTGAGAGACATCGGCAAAGTGTTCGGGATCGGGTTGTTAAGAATGCTGTTAAGGTTGAACAGCCTTTCTTGAATTGATGGGTTGGGGTGTGGCCTTTTGCATTATGTATAGATTGGTTGTTTCATAGCCATAGCGGAGCATGCTGTGGATTTGAGCTTGTACATATAGATGTCTGTGGATATCATGGTATTGCTATTATAAGCAATAAGTGCGGTGCTATGCGTGGATGGGACGAAGCCCCCGAAACAAAAGGTGATAGCGAAGGACATATATAATAGGAATCACGGATAACCGAAAATGCGGCAACGCCAGCAGTCACAGAAGCCATCAAGGAGAGACAAGTCGTATATCTTCATGTCTCTCCTCCTGGATACGATCGATCTCCGAAGAGATACTCATAACCCAGCGATCTTTCTCGACACGACTACGCGCTTTGAACACAATTGTACGGCCATGCTTGCCTAGCGTGGAGACATGTCGAATGGATCGTTTCGCTCTACCCTGCACTCCCGTTTCCTGAGCTCGGAAATAGCTCTTCTTCAAAGGCTGCCAGACAACGAAGGTGATAGCAGTATCTTCGTCGTGACTTGTGAAGGTATCTGAATCGAGATATACGCGTGGCAAAGCATGAAGCCCAGGGTTATTGCTGTCGAATGTTTGATTTGCGTACAACAAGTCATCTTCGGTGAGCAGGCCGGAGTAGATGTAGCAATCTTCCAATTCGATGGTTGCTTCGAGTTCTTGATGAATGTGTGGGATTTCGGTACCATTCCGGTTGCGCAGCGTGCTCGAGAAAATGAGCAGCTTACCCGCTGTGAGAATGACATGGCACTGGTTGAAAGTCGTGTGGCGACGGGGCTTGCGATAGAGTTGTCCGGACATCTATTATCATTAGTATTCTGTGTGATGCATTCCTCATGTTCTTTTATAACTCACCTTGATGGTCCGACAGCTGGATAGCAAACACATATTGTGCAACTGTGGCGATGCCTCGGCTTTCTTCACTTCCCACTTCTTCGCGAACTGCCCAACAACCGACTCCATGGCCTCGTCGATTTCCAAATGCTTGAGATTGCGCCGCCGGACAGCCTGCAGCTCTGCGGCATCGTTTGCGCAGCGCGCACGCCAGTACTTGACCAAAGCATCGAGCCGTTTGACCCATTCATCTCGACTAGCGACGTTATATGCCTGGAGTCGAATGACAAGGCCATTATCCAAAGCCATTTCAAAGGTCCTATCGTCGTCGAACTCTTGGGAAGCACCATCATCTTGTCGTGAGTCCGTAGCCTCCCGGTTGTAATCCACAGAAGGCCCTTCGCCGATGTTGGCATCAGCAGGGCTACTACCGCGCTGGATATTGCGAACTTCTTGCACCCGACACATATCGATGTATCCATCTGCATGACTGATGTTGTGAACATTCCTCTGCACTTGCGCATAGGCCTCCTCGTCGTGCCGTTGGATGAACTCTTTGTTACCGTTGGACAGCCATGCGATACCACCGTCTTGAAGAGGGTAGGGATTGATATCCCAGGATAGTGGCATCTCATCTAGGATTTGACGTGCAGATGGCACTCCATCTGGCGGCGGAGCTTCTGATGGGGCAAACTTTGGGGGTGTCGGTGGGAATGCCTTGGCTGGTCGACAGAAAAAGAAGAAATGATCCTGGGTGAAGAAATACAACCGCTTGAAGAACATCCTGTTCATCTTTTGATGAACACCCCTTTGGGATGTGAGGCGGACAAGGAATCCCTCAATCGGTGCAGGTTCCTCCACCTTTGAGCCATTCTGTCTGACTACAGTGGAGTAGTGATATCTCGGCCGTAGCTCAAGCTCGTGTGATGACTGCATGGCAATGGTGCCAAACATCTTTTCTTCGTTGACACCAAACACCCACTCCAATCGATCATATCGTTTCCAAGCAAGACCCATCTTCTCAGTCTTGGACCAGGCCTTCAATACCTCGGCCCATTCAGGACGACCTTCGAGCATGTCCAAGCATTCTCTGATGATGCATGCAGCAGCATATCTTTCATCGAACGCCGCATGCTCTTGGTCAGTGTCGTCAGCTTTTCGACTGACCCCTAGCTGGCTGAAAGGGTTTTTGAAGATGAGCGAGACTCCCAAATCAGGAACGTTGATAGGGAGTGAGGTTGGACGTCGCCAACCTAGCGCCTGCCGAATGAAAGTGTACCACTCAGCAGAGTGAGCAGCAGATTTTGGCCGGATGATGTAGATTTTGGTGCCACGCTTGCAAGGGTACCAAATAACGATGGTTTTATCCAAGGGAGAGTAGAGGTTAACATGGGTGTTTTTGTGGTTGAGTCGTATTTCGTAATAAGGCGGCGTTTTGTTGTTCGGTCGTTGCACATCAGGTATCACACGGGTGCGATACATTTGCAGAGCAAATGGCGCATGTTCCGCGGAGCTTTTTCGGCACACGACAAGAAATTCTCTCCATTTGTCCACAGTGCGGGTTTCCATGCGGAGGCTGTCATTCTCGGAGTAATCAGGGGGAAGTGTGCCTTGCATAGTCTCCTCGACGCAGACCAGCATCTTTTCCGCCTTGACAATCTCTCCTTCTTGCACTTTCCGCCGGCGGGGCCGATTGGCTGAGATGGTGCCCTGCGTCTTTGAAATTCGCGAGCGAATACGTTGTTGCTTGTGCTTGATGTTGTCATCCAGGTTTAGTTTTGCCATTCTCCTGGTGAACATCCGCTGTGGCACATCTGCATTTGTGCCTTCTCCTTGTTGGCCATTGTCTTCATCTTGGGGACCGTGGTCATGGTGTTGAAGAGTTGCTCGAGATATACCAGAATTCTTACTTTTCTGCTTTCCTTTGTCCTGGAATTTGCCTCTCAGCAACTGTGTCGTAGAATCTGCCTCGCTGGGGCCCGTAGATATATTTGGGGTCAGGGTGCTGGCAGAATTATGGCTCGTCAGGTGTGTGTTCTGTGAGCCATGCGACGTTGGGCGATGGCCAGTCGTTAATCTGTTAGGCTGCAGGGTAGATGACGATTCTCTCGTGTCCGTAGAATCCCTTGTGTCGACAGAAAGTCCCGTATATGCGCTATAACCTGTTTTTGCAGAGCTAGACACTTCTTCTCTGGCCGTGACAAATGAAGACGAAGCAACATCGGTGTCGCATATATCGTTGTCCCTTGGTCTCGCTCTGGGGGTGCTGTCTGTATCCTCGGTATCATTTCCACTATCCCCTCCGTCATTCTCTCCAGTTCCTGTGTCATTCCTATCGTCATTTTCTTCATTCCCTGCATCAACTTCCGATAGAGGATCTTCGCCGCTGGTTTCAGCAGTGGGGTGAGTGAGGGTCCGAAGTTCCCCCTCGGGCTCAGATGTGGCTTCTTCGGCTTCATTCTCATCTGTTTGCTCCGCTACAGCCACATCAGTTGTATTCGTAAGTGTCAGAGCCACTTCTTCGTCCAGATCAGGTAACGCTGGCTCGGCCTGGGGGTCCTGTTCGCTGTAATGGGTCGCAACCGGACCCGCGGAGAACGAAATGGCTTGTGATGTATAGTTTCTAAGCCTCAATCGAGACTTGTACCATGACTTGCGATGGCCCTGGAGCCAGCCTTCTGGGATTGGTCCGACGAAAAACCGACGGTTGGTCATATGCAGATGGTTGGCAGAGGCATGGCGCTATCCACGAACAGCATGTTAGGTCATGATTCCATTCCCAGGAGATATATACACATACCAGCTGCTGATCTGTATAGGACCCAGTCTGCAAGCCATGATAATGTTCATGGCTGAGCGAGCGTGGGTCAGCTCCTTGCGACCCGTCGGCCTGGTCCGGTGGAGTGCTCATGGCAATCTCTTACCCGCGTTGGCCAAAAGCGCGGGAGGTATGCGAGGGTAATGAAAGCATAAGGGTAGGCAACGCAGGACAATCACCCAGGAACAACCTTTGGGCTTAGGTGCATAGTGCGATCGGATCGAAATGTAACTCTTAGCGATGACGTCGTGATGAAGAGCTTGGCAGATCCTGCAAACAGGACAAACACAACAATGACACTTCACCGCCCCCGTTTCCCCCCACCTGGCATTGGCTTGCGCGTCACCAGCGGTGAAGACGTCTCCTTATTGTTCTTTCCCTTGATTATCTTTGCTTTTGTTTCAATTCCTTCGTAAAAATGGCCGCTATTCCCGCTGATCAGACATGGTTTGACACCATCAAGAAGTCCTTCGCCGACGTTCCTATCGGTGCGGAGGATGGCATCTCGACAACCGAGTTCCTCGAAGCTGCCGAGTCCCTTGTGACTCTCTTTGGTGCGTACTGTGCCACTGCATGAAGCTCCTCAGACTAATGCAGGAACTCTCTCCAGATGTCCTCGGTTCTGCTGCTTTCACACCCGTCAAGAATGACCTGCTTGGCAACATCGAGGTTGGTCCAATCCATTCCAGCTAGTGTCAACACCTTCTAACCCTTGTTTAGAAAGTCCGTAAGCGCCAATTGGCCGCTCCTACCGAGTCCGAGACATTGCAGGCCCTTGTCGTGAACGAATTGAAGACCGGCAAGCACACTGCCACCGAGGGTCTCGTCTGGCTGGTCCGGTAAGTTTACACGGAGTATTGCGACGCAAGATGCAGGAAGCGCATGTTGCGTATCGCATATCCGAATTGATAGTTGACTAACTGGCCTTAACAGCGGTCTCGACTTCACTGCCCAAGCCCTCCGTCACAACATCGACAACTCCGCCTCAGAGCTCTCTGACTCCTTCCGCGGCGCCTACGGCCAGACCCTCAAGCCCCACCACTCTTGGGTCATCAAACCCATCTTCAGCGCGGCTATGTCTGCGACCCCATACCGGAAGGCCTTCTATGAGAAGCTCGGCCACGACCAGCCGAAGGTTAATGCCGAGTTGGCCAAGGAGATCGCTGCTCTGGAGAAGGTGGTTGCTATCCTGAAGGCTTTCCAGGAAACTCCGGCCGCTAAGTGGAAGTAAGCATGCCCTGGAGGCATTTCCCTCGAATCATGGTACTTGGAGCAACTTGATATGTAAATATTCGATCTGGTTTCGAACACGCGAGTTTCAATTCTGATGTAGCGAATTCACAAATCATTTTGGCTATTATATAAATAGACCAATCAACTTGCATTTGCATGACAGCATCAATGTCGAGATTGATATAAAAGTAATTTAACTATAGCACATGATGTGGATGAGCCCTCGAATCAGGTGATCTATAACGGTAGACACTCATATACCTTCACTCCACTCCTTCTTCCAAAGCACGTACAGTACATGCGACTTGGCAGATCTCAATAGATTCTGCATCCGTGAAATTTACTGTATGGGAAACAGCATTACAAACCATACATGGGGTCAATACATGGGGTGAATACAGGGGTGTGATCAGACCCTTGCATAGAGCCACATGGTCTCGTATCGTGATCCATGGTTGCAATGTGCGCACAGTGTTCTAGAAGAACCCGTTGTGCTAAGAATATCCCAGGAATAGCCGAGATTATATTGCAGCTAATCTCAATCTTAGAAGTGTTCGAGTCCCCAGATCCGCAATGTGGGTATACAATATGTGTAGGTTTATATTCTGAGAGAATAAAACATGCTGTGTTACAATTGATATGCCTACTATATGTATAACCTCTCGTAGGAAACGTAACTATATCTATGTAGACATTGGAACCCCTGTCAAGGATTTGCCGAGTCTGCAGTACGTATTCGCCGCTAAACGTAGGTGGGGCCACAAAATAGTCAAGTAATCTCCGAATTGTTCACAGTATTGCAGATCCCACCTTCATGGCGCTCCCGCTGGTCGGCTACGGCCGGACTTCTCATCCTTGAGAAGCCTTGAGATGTACGAAGATCTCGATATCCTTGATATCAATATCCGATTTACTGTTCGTCTTCCTAAGATTTACCTAGGTAGCATGTGCATCACTATATTGTCGCCAAACATTGCCTATGGGCACTCGGCAAACACCGGTGGCTTGTCTAAGATCTACGCAGGGGCGAGGGCGAAGAAAAATCCCCTAAGCAAACTTAGCAAACTTCAAAGCGATTGACCGCAACGGTCTCCTATTCCAGGCTAGTTCCGGCACCAAAGCCTTGACGGCCTTGATTCTGTCCAAGACACCACTCCACCGATCGATCTTGATTCGCAGATTTCAAGTGGAGTCCAGAAATCGAATGTCTACCAAATGATCCAGTAGCAGGCTCGAACAGGGGAACTGAGCGCATGTTACATGTATAGAACTACATACGTTTGCCTCCATTGACACATGCATACACGTATGTGGCAATGGCTGTCACTATTTGTCACTAACTGTCACACTATTGAAACATTTCTTTTTTCCAACCTTCCTCTCCACAAACTCATATTCCAATGTAACTGTACTTCTAGATCCGGCACAATCTCCACTCGGGTCGCGGCTGGAAAGCCCACAGACAGAGCCATTGTTGCAGATGCACGGCTGCTAACCGATTTAAGACTAACTAGCCTCATCCTTGCAGGCATGTCGCCCATTTCCTCGGGTTTGCTCCATACAGAGTTCCTTTTTTGCCGAAAACACGGAGAACATCGCCGCTATAGCCCCCTCTCTTGGCAGATCTCGCCACGACCTGAAATGCTTGGCCTGGGTGGATTTTCTTTTCTCTGTTGATCGCTTTTCTCTTCTTTGTTCCTTCTTGGCGAGTGCTGCGCGCAGGGATACAGGTCATGAATTGGTGATACATTCCCTTGGGTTGTCATTATGTTACCCTTACATGGTCGCAGTGAGTCGATCTTTATCGTGACCACTACTTTTCTGGGAATCTCCTTTATTGCGGTTTGCCTACGATGTTTCGTGCGGCTCAGGATCGTCAAGGCCTTTGGCTGGGATGACACTTTTATGGTGTTCGCCATGGTATGTACCGCAGGAAACTCTGATGGAACCAACTGCTGATGAATGGACAGTTGCTCAATATCCTATTTGCCCTCAGTGGTATTACTGGAGCATTGTATGGGATTGGTCAAAGATCAATAGTCCTTGTGGAGAGAGGTACAATGGAAACAGCAATGTTTGTACGTGAACCGCAATGCGCAATTGGAGGGACTCGAATGAGATACTAACAATACCTGCAGTGGTGGTGGCTCGGCCAGACCAGCTATGTATGGACATGCGCACTTGCAAAGATCTCCATTGCATTAGCCCTACTCCGCCTTACAGTCGCTAAGATGCATAAGATCATCCTATGGGCTGTCATTTCCGTCACATGCGCCATCGGCCTGGTGTTCTGGTTCATGTTGACGTTGCAATGCCAACCGGTGTCATTCTTCTGGCAACGAGTTCGCCTCGAGACGAACCCTCACGCCAATGTTTCCGGCACTTGCATGAACCTTGACAGCATTATCGCTATCGCCTATGTCTACAGTGTTACTGCGACACTCTGTGATCTAACCTTGGGTCTTTTGCCAATCTTCTTGGTCTGGAACTTGCAGATGAACTGGCGGACCAAGGCTGCCTTGGCTGGTATTCTTGGAATGGGTTGCGTGTATGTATCCGATGTGCCGGAACAACTGAAGGATTTATACTGACCTGTTCAATCTAGTGCAAGTGCAGCAGTCATCATTCGCATTCCTTTCCTGCACGATTACAAGGACACAGACTTCCTATGTAAGCATCCATCCATCCAATCCTACAATCAATATCAAGCCCCTATCGGAGGAAACATACTAATCTCATTCATCCACAGACGCAACAGCCCAAATCTCAATCTGGTCGAACGTCGAAGCAAGTCTCGGGATTGCAGCCGGCAGCCTCGTAACCCTCCGCCCATTATTCCGCTGGTTCCGTGACCCCAGCTCCGCCGGCGGTAGCAGGAGCAAAAGCAAGCGCACAGGCGGCAGCGTCCCCCTCTCCAGCGTCAACGCCATTCGCTCCGACCCGTCCGGGCCACAATACTGGCGCCCTGACGTCGAAGACGAATCCAACGCTGTGATTACGACGGTCCACACCTCGAATCAGGGTAGCAGGTCCAGTAGCACTGAGAACCTGAATCCGAAACATAGCGGTACTTTTTTTCAGGGTGTGAATGTGCAGAAGACGTTTTATGTTTCTGCGGATGAAGCTTCATGATCGGGTTTCGTGTTCGGGTGGCTTTCTTTGTACTATACATGTACCTTGTCAAGTAACTGAGCTTACATGGATAAAAACTACTTTAATAATGTTTCCTTGGGTTGTCTTTATATTTTTTTTGGTTGGTATTTATGCTTAAATGTCTCTAAACCCGGTACCCATAGCCCTGGAGGTTACAAGTATATTAATAACCCCCACGACCAATAACTAGACTTGGTCAGATGCATAGATCGTGCATACGTTTACCGAATTGGCTGCAGGATGCAGGCCGAAACGCCACTATGCAAGCTAGCCACACGCATAATCTGCACGTTCGATACTCAAAGACTGGAGATTTTAGATCCCGGATCTTTAACTTTTGGCTTATAATGCAAAATATCGCGCCCGCCTTCAACAGCCCGGCCGGGCTAGCTCAATCGGTAGAGCGTAAGACTCTTAATCTTAAGGCTGCGGGTTCGACCCCCGCGTTCGGCTATTCCTAAACACCGTCCACGAGTGAGCGTTTCTTTTTTTGCAACTTCTTCAGTAAAGCCAGCATGTTTATTTTTGTAATTACTATAGTAGTTGTTAATTGGCGGAGATCTTAGCGAATGCCATAGCAGGCCCTTTGTTTTACATATTAGGCAAACAATGTTGTTTGCATTAAGTGTTTGTGATATATATTTTTGTGATACCACTCACCGAACTTTGAAATAAGTCACAGCAAAGTAACTAAGCGAAAAAGCGAACATTACGAATAGTCACAAAGTATATAGAAAAAGAACATTAACTGCCTAAAAAGACCAACGCCCGATGCTATGCACATATCATCGTAAGGAAAAAGCGCTCGAACGCCAGCCAGAACATCAACAAAGAATAAAAGAGCGAACAAGTATCGAGGTTGGGACTACGAAGACGCGCAATAAAATGTGCAAGAAGCGCGGGCATGGAAACAGAATATCCCGTCCTAATAATCAAACTCAAATCAAGTACTTGGCTGCAAGTTCGCTGTGTAAACCCCTTCAAAGTCAAGACCCGCGAGCATACCATTAACACGATCAATCTCACGACTTAGATCCTCAACATTAACAGCCAGACTGCTCACCTCATCGAACTTGCGCCGCCGATTAGCGTCGGCAATCATCTCCGATACAAAGAACTTTTGTTCTTCTAGTACGATGAGTCGATCTCGAAGGGATTTCTCTTCTGCCTCTAGGGCTGAAACGGCACTGCTAGTCTCGCTGACTAGACTGCTGTTGCTACCACTAGCGGCAACGCTGTTGTATTTGATAGAGGCGAGAGCAGACTCTGATGGTCGGATATTGGATGTAGAGCTATTGACCGGGGTGCTCGGGGAGCTGGTCCGGCTGGGTATCCTGTCCGACGCTGGGGTTGCGTGTTTGAGAATCTTGGGGAGGGTTTTCAAGGGTAGCATGTGGAGGTGGAGGAAGTTGCTGGCTTGTTGGTATATAGCTTTCTGTAGCCGTTGTTGTGTAGGTGAGTTGGTTGGCATATCACGTATGCGTCGAGCTGCGACATCATACTGTGCAAAGGAGTCGATGAGCCGCTTGCGCACTTTGGATGCATCTGCTATCTGGGCAGATGATGGGGGTCGTCTTGGGTCTCTGTTATAAATTTGCGGTTAGTAACCGGTTGAAATAACAAGTGTGATATACATACTGTAAAGATGTCAACAGTTTCTGGAATCGAGGTAGGTGAAGACGGATGCCCCTTTCGAACTGGATTAAGTTTTCGTAGGCCCTAATCTCCGATGGCTTTCGCATGGTATCTGCTTTGAAGTCGCGGCGATCGAACAATGTTGCTTTACAATCCTTGCATAGTCTCACGTCAATGTTGATGAGTTTGTCGGTATTGGTTTTCTCAGAGGAAGCTGTGGAGTCTGTCAGAAATTAGGCTCTAGCCACAGGGGTATTGTCTCGGAACTTACAAGGAGCAATGCTCAACCCGACCTCACTAGAACACTCCGTGTTCTGATCACCACAGACTACTCGCCCACAAGTCCTGCAATGATGCCTGCGAAAGGTGTAGCCAGAGAAGTCCTGCTGGCAAAATGGACACCGTGAAACACTAGCATCGTCTTGCCAACTGACAATTGTTTGTTCCAACTCTTTCCGCTGATCACTCTGCCAAGCAAGAGACCACAATTTGGTCGCACTGGGGTGTATCTGATCCGGCGGCAGACTGGCCAAGAGCTGAGTGAGGCGGGTCAATCGCTTCTCGAGCCGGGAGATTTCCAAGAAGTCTCTATCCACAGTTTGCTTTCTTATGGATTTGAAGGCGTCCGTTTGGTCCCTCGTCACTCCTAATTTCTGTTAACTCGGTCCGTCACCTCAGAACAGGACCGTTCTTACCATTATGATCATTATATCCCTCTCTTGACTTGTAGCAAGTTTCACAAACCCGAGCCCATATTCCTCGCACGGGCTCATGATGCGCCGCTCGAGAGAGCTTCATTTGGTACATTGTGTGTTCCTCGCAAAAGAGCTTCCCGCAACTCCGGCAGTTCACGCAGCCATTGGTGGCATTCAATCGTTTTCCACATGATGGTTCCAGACACTCATCGTAGATGCAACTTGCCTGCCAGTGGTCCTTTGTGATAAGATCCTCGGGATCTAGTGGTCTCGGGGGTTCGGAGGAGCCTGCATGGGTTGCAAGTGGTCGACTGACGAGAGGCGCGTTCTGGTTTTCGTTTGATTCGAATACATCCAGGCCCTTCAACTTCTGGTTGAGGACCGCCAGGGGTTGGAACTTCCTCGCCTTCTCCATTTGCACCTTGAACCAATCCTTGACTTCATCTTGCCGGTCGTCTTCTAAGTTCTGATGGATATCGTCGAGGTGTCTGCGTCAAAGCGTTAATCATACATGCGAGCGGTTCCGAGAGGGGGTTGGTGGGTCGATACCGATTCAGCTGAAGCAAAGTCATCTATACACCGTCAGCGCTATTTCACTTCGCACCTTAACAGCGAACATGGTGGAAACAAGCATACCATCTCCTCATTGCAGATCGGACAGGAGAGCTGAGCCCCCGGAGCAGCCGGCGCAGCAGAGATCGAGGTATCGCCATTCTCTATTGAAATGCGAGAGGTGAGATCCTGAGTTTCCGAGGAGAATTGCGATGCAGATGTCTGTGAACTGAGGGAAACGCTGCTGGCGGTTGGCGAGAGTACCCTTGGCTTCGGCTGCGGGGACGGAACTGATGCAAGAGCGCTCGGGTTGCCCAGAACACGACCTCCGCCCAGCGTCCTCCGCGACATGATCACGGGGGCATGAGAAGCTGAAGAAGAAGCTGTTTCAGCACTTCATTTGGCTGGACAGTAATAAGCCTGGGGGAAGATAGTTGGGAGGAAGTGCCAGATATGATGCGGTGGAGTCAGCCTTGCATGTTGTGGCCTGAGGCGACAACCGCCAAGGCTATAGTTTGATGCGAAGGTTAAAGATCGCAATTATGGCTTTGTTTGATTGAGCTGGATTTGCTTGAATGACATGATTGGATTTCGTTCGATACTAGTGAGACAAGTACAGGGAATGGGCTAAATGAGCTTGGTAGCCCTAAAGCTGACGTTGAGGGTTACTACCTCGGCATGTACCTTTTATACTTCATTTTGTCTCTCGATCTGTAAAACCCTGCATACAATGCTTCGTATACAATGTTCCTAATGATAAAATTCTTCAAGGTCATATAGTCCAGCCAAGAACGCCTATACTGAGGCGGAATACATCCTCTCCTAGCAAGATTAAGTCACGAATACATCATTGTTGTTCTTTAACTACACTTTTACATCGAGCTAAAACAGACAACAAAAGAAGTCAGATTTTTTTTTTAAACATTTTGAAGATTTAATCTTTTTTTTTGTGGCCGACACAACCAAGTTTTGCCTTTTCATCTGTTTTTGCTTTTGTTTCCAGTGCTTTAGACAGGATTCGTAAACTCATATCCATCTATATACAAGCCCGGGTCAAATCCCAACGCGAATCCTCCAATTAAGCGCCATTATTTCTCATAGTCACGGTGGTAACTAGTTCCAGTGTTCGGATTATCGTATTCTCTGTGGACACGAGTAGATCCATCGTCGTACCGGTCAACGTCGCGGTGTCGATAGGTCCCGCTCGGATCAACCCGCTCTCGGTGATGTCTCCGGCCAGCCGGGGTGCTGTAATCCAGGTGTTGGTCGTATGAGCCGGTACTGGGATCATATGTTGTGGCACCGTAGCCGGCGTCAGTGGTGTGATCTGTGCCGAAACCCACTGCTCCGTAGCCGGTTGCACTGTAGCTGTCGTAGCCCGAGGGCTCGTAGTTCCCTAGTGTATCATAGGCTCCGGTTCGGTCGGTCATGTTGAACGATTTGTCCAACTGAAGAAGAAAAAGGTATTATGTGAATATAGTTTGTATTGTGCTTGACGTGTGATATGCGATGTGTCAAATGCAGCCATCTCAACCCTCATTGATATATGTTCCATGTGGCGTTGGATATCACAAGTATGATATTGTCCTGACATCACTCTGGCGACTTCAGAAGTCGCCAGCTGAGGCAAAGTGGATTGTTGGGGACCTCAATCTGAAGTGAGCTAATTCCTGGAAAATAATTTGATTGATGGAGTTCCTTGGGAAGTCTGGTTATAGGCCGTTGCCCCAGAAGGTGAATGATCTTCATACTTCCATCGCCATGCTGAGGTGGATGTATAGAACATCGGATTAGCCAATGCTTATCTGTAACCACACCTAAGGACATTCTATGGATTCCGTGGGGTTCCAAAACCATGCCTTGAGGTTAGCTAGCCTGGTCTACTTCACTCGTGTACCAATTAGGTCAAGGCTTGAGACCATGACCAAGATATCTGCGGAGAGCATCAAAGGCCGGAACAGCATGCTTGAAGTTGAGATGCCCATTGGAAGGTTGTAAGTCAGGGAATTCCATAGCAGAACAAAGTGTCCGTGATGTATTGATATGAGTCTCCAATCAACTTGTATTAAGCAAATTGAGGTTGATATGATGGTGAGAATGGGAACATTGCACGTCGGAATTTTGAATTATACTATGGTTTACAGCCTCAAGCCATGTTCAAGCCATGTTTTCATCTACTCTCAATTACATTCAGCTATCCCGACCCAGAGGCGCCAAAGAATCAGAGAGGAACTCAGTGGCGTTCATCAGGTCTGTACTGCCGTAGACAACTCTCCGGCGGTGTCCAGGTGCGCCTCCCGCACGCTGAGCGGGTGCACCCTCACCACCTTGCTGGCCACTCGTTCGGTGAACCCAGTCTTGCAAGTTGCCATACTCATCCATGCTTCCACCACCGACTGTGAAGACAATGGCTTCACTGAAGGCTTGGCGACGCTGTCCGAAGCTGGCACCGGTGCCAGGACCTGCGCTCATACCACCGGGCATCTGCGTGCTACGAGATGCAGACGCAGGGGGCATGGCGCCACGGGCGTTTGCGCTTCTTGGGTCAAAGTAGAGGTAGTTTTCGGTCTTTGCGATGGCAGAGCTTGAGGCTGCGGCCGGATCCATGATAGACTCGGTGATCTTTGTCACAGTCAGATCCTTATTCGCTGGTAGGAAATTCTTCACGCCCGAAATCAGGGAGTCAAAGTTGGCACCTAGAGATCCCGAGGTAATGCGATCTGTCAGACGGTTTGAAAGTGATGAGAACCCACGGAACAGGTCTGAAGATTGCTGTTCTGGAGCGGCTGTTGTCATCATCGTCATCCGAGTGATCTCGCGCACCTGTTTGACATAGGCAAGGGAGGAAATATCGGGAACGCCAGCCTTGGTCAGTGCCTCTTCGAACTGGGTCATCTCCGACCGACTGAGCTCAATCTCAGTGCTCAGGAACCAGATAACGAACAAGCGCAGCTTATCCAATGATTCACTTCCTTTAGAAGGATCATTGATCAGCTCCAAGATTTGCGACTTCGATTGCTTTGTGATGTTCTCCTCTAACTCAAAGAAGTTATCCAGCTGACGGTCTTTAATACCCTTGAGAAGTGCGGTGGCAATATTCATGTGCATGTCAAGAACGGCCTTGCGTTCCCTCAACTCAGGGAGAAGTGTGATAGCGGCCTTGAGGTGTTGTGCTGAGGCGCTGGTATCATTTTGGAGATCCTCAATGGAAGAAGCACCAGTCTTCTTCGTTATATCATTTGCGTCCTCCTTGTACCGTGTAAGTTCGGCGTCAATATCTTCAGCCACCTGTGGGAATGGGACTCCGGCGTTGCGCTGCCAGAAGAAATCGTTACTGTTTATGTCGTACGACTTCTTAGTTAATGTGCCCGAGCCCGATTCGTCTGCATCCAAAGTAATTCGATTCAAACGCATCTGAAGAACATCCTGCACCAGTGACTGGTATGTCCATGAGTGGGAGAGCATTGGGACAAGATCCACGTTTCGGTCCATGATGATCAACACCGGTCGAGTTGACGGCACACCTGGCAGGGCCTTCTGATTGCCGGAGAAGAGGTTGTCCTTGGAATTGAGAATGTGGTCTCGCAACTTCCGGTCCAACTTTGTTGCTATCAATTCTGCCGCACCGCCCTTGGGGCATCGGATGATGGGAATAGTGCCTGTCCAGTCAGTCAAATAGGCCAATAACTGGAACCAGAACGTGCTTACCCATTGTCACACTGACACTGAACAGTCCGCTAACCACATTGTCCACAATCGCATCCAGCTCCTCATCACTTGTTTTTCCGCTATTGATTTTGTAGTATGCATCGTTGCCGAGCCCTAAACTAAATAGATCGGGCTCTGCCACAATGAAGTTCAGATATTGATCGAAAACCTGCGCAATGTGTTCGGATGCACCAGAGGTGACTATTTGAGAGGCGAAGTCCTCAAGAAGTGGCCGTGGAACGGAGGATAAGAAGTTCACGTAGGCAGGGGAGTAGAGCCCATGGGAAAGGTCGTGGGTGATTGCTTGAATGTTGGCGGGAGTTGGCTCCACGAAATAGACAACTGGAACATCGGGAATAGGGTATCTTTGCGAGTGGAGGTTTCTAGGAGTAGCTCCTGGTTAGCCACGGGGTCAGGTTAGGGGATCAGGTGGCCTTACAGATGAATGGTTATACCCCATGCGCGGAGGTCATTGACTCGTAGGACACTGCTGATGATATCTCGGCCCATGTTATCAAACACCAAGACTTTCCAGATCGGGTCGCCATCCTCATTCAAGATCGGAGTGGAGTGTGAGATAAGACCGCCCGCGGACTGGTCGATGGCGTTGTCATCAGTAGGTTGCGGGTCATGGTTCAAATTCAAGAGCTTTTGAATTGACGCTTAAGGCGGTTGTCAGTAAAGGATAAGCTAAGAAGAGCCCACCGTGCAGTCACTTACCGACCTGTCGGTCCCGGAGGGACATTGGTTGCGAGGCCATGGGAAGGAATAGCTGGCAGCGCTGTGTGAGATTGGGGAGAGGCTGAACCAAAGCTTCAAAGCATGTACCGCTGCACGAGGATAGATTTGAGATATGCGCGCAACCCTCCGAAATGATGACTTGTGTTGACACCATGCCCCCCCGGAGCTAGATCACATGCCTGGATTCTGCCACATAACGTGACCTCCAGTGGTCGGACAATCCATTACGGTACTGTAAGTTACTGCTAACCGCCCTGACGACAGCTTTTCTCCCTTTCGCTTCACACCTGTTCTAACCATCAACATCTCCCCCATTCCCTTCTTTTTCTTCGTAAAGCGAATGGCTATCTAGAGTGGCCCTTCGTATGAGAGCCTTTCTCTTCTCTGATACTCAGTCTTTCCAGAGACAAAACATAGCAGAAAGGAGGAGAGCTTCTGCAGGGAGAGCACAAAGTGCCTGGAAAGGATACCAAGTCAAGGACACAAGGCAGAAGAGGCTCTTGAAGATCCTGAGATCCTGTGGACCGTCTTACTAGACTTGTATTCGCAACTGCGGAGTCAATAAGCTGCAAGGCCAAGGACGACAAAGACGTGACTCGCAGTACTGGGGAATAAAATTGATGCCTGAGGCACCATAAATTGAAAGCATTCTGTTTTCTTTCTAAGGTACGACAGTACTCAATTCTGAAGATTCTAGGCGTATCAAGTGAATTGCCGCGTCTAATTCTTCAATTCTTCAGACAGCTTCCCCCCTCAATAACTTCCCTCGGGAGAAAGCTTCCTCCGGCATCCGCCCCACTTCTTTTCTTCCCATTTACAAAGGCGGTGAAAATAGGCGGTGAACACGAAAGCTGGGGTCTGCACGTGATTACGTGATTCTTCATAGTTAGCTTAAGCTTTGGAGTACTTACTATCATGGAGCAATCCGCCCATCTGCAGGGGTTGCCTCAGGGCAATGACCAAGACACACTACCTGCTGATTACTGGGATACCCTCGATGCCATCTATCCGACCCCTGATCAGCAACTCCAACAACACACTCAAGCCCAACATGATTCTGCATCACAAACCGCCCTAGGAATAGGCTGGGACCATCCCGTATTTCAAGATCAGAGAGAGCTTGCTCCTCGACCCGAACAAAATCACGGCATCTACTCCTCAATGCATCAGTCTTGGCAGGCGGAGACTCCTCTTCAGCAGTCGCAACGAAGCTACGGAGCCCACCCGCAGTTTGAACAACCGCAAGCTACCCAGTACCCAGGGCAGATGCATTTCGACTCTCGTCCTCTGAATGCTTCCGAGTCATCGGCCTTCCCGTCATACTCCTTCCAGCCGGGCTACTTTCCCCCACACCAACAGATCCCCATCCAAGACACCTTTCCGGAGGCACCTTCCCGGCAGCGATTGCAGCCACAACAATACACATTACCCCAAGACTTCACCCCAGAGATGATGGTACGTCACGTCGTTGCCTTGTGTGACCGTAAATCTAACGTGCAGCAGTCCAATACGATTGACCTCACCAATGAATACTCTGAATCAGATCCCAATGTCACCATCAACCCACAATTTCTGAACCCTGCCCAAGCATCTGGTCAGCAGCCTACATTGGCAAATGGTCTTGTTTATGGTCTCCCCTCGCACTTCCAGAGACAACCAAACGAGCAGTAAGTTCACGCATCCATCGTAGTTTATGAGGAAGATGACTGATCGTTTCACAGGGACCGGCAGTTTGATTATTATCAGCACGGTCTTGCAATCCAACCACAGGTTGGATCGGCTCCTCATCCAAACATGTCGTCCGGAGGTATGTGCAGACCGTTGAGACACCCTCCAATCATTTGCTAACTCGTTTTAGGCCTGCCAGTGCCAGACGTCGTCATTACGAAGAAGGGGCCTGCCAAAAAATTGCAACCAAAGACGAAAAGTCCAAAGAAAGCTCAATCAAAGTCAGAAAGTGAAAGTTCCGATGAATCGGACCTTGAAATTGAAGCTCCAGATGAGCCCTCCCCCTTACCCCCCATTCGGCCGACAGAACCCGAGGCTGCAGCTCAGTATGATACACTGCAAGCAGTGTGGTCACCACGCAACAAGTGGCCCGGCCCCGAGAAGGTGAAAAATGCGCTGGTAGCCTACAAGGATGTTGTCAAGACGCTTCGAGATGCATGGAAAGAACAAGTCCAGGCGATGAAGCTGGCTGAGAACCAAGGTGACAATAACAAAGCCGCCAAAGTGAAAGAACAGGTAGTCTCTCAGCGTCGGACAATGGATAAAATTGCGACGACAACGTTAGAAATGGGTCATCCCGTGATTGTTGACAAGTACGTGACCCTTTTCCGCCCCCTGCACTTCTCTTGTACCCCCCTGGTTGTGCCTATATAGGCTTGAAGCCGCCTTTGAGCATCGCTCCGTATAATTTCTCTTCTGGGGATTAAACCCAATCGCATCGTCATGGCTAGAACCAAGGGCAGTTGCTCTGTTTCGCTGGGCAAGGCATGATCTTATATGTGCTGTATGGACATTAGGCAAATATGCAGACCCAGAGTGAAAGTTCTTCCAGATATGCCATAGGAAACTATCTGTGAGATCCGAGGAACCTATCTAGAAAAGAGCTTGTGCTTTTCCTGTGCTTGGCAAACTTGAACCATTGGTATAATTGGACCAGACTAATTGTGAATCCTATGTAGGCTGGGCGAGCATCCTATGGTTGTGGCAGCTCTATACTCCTTCTTGGTCGACCGTTTCCAGGCTGCAGACTTTGCCGGTACCTTGACAATCAATTTGCTTACGGTAAGTCTGCTTCTTTCAAGTTCATATGGGTTAGTCATTTGCTAACATTTACAGCTTTTTGCACGCTTCTCCACCATGACAGAAGACATGCTGCAGAAAACCAATCTCTCCAAATTACTGCCCAAATTTTTGAAGAAAGGCGGACAACAGGTCAAGGACCTCACCCAGAAGATTCTGGACAATGCCACTGCCTCCACCAAGCGTAAACAAGAAAACGACAAACTTCCCAAGGAAGATGCTGTCAAAAGTATTGAAAAGCCTGATCCAGTTGGGATGAAACGACCACGCGAGGCAGACGGAGGTCCGCAGGTTGGGACAAAAAGAATGGCGACCGCAAACAAAGACGCGTCGAAAGCCCCCGTAGGCAATGGACTCAAGGGAGCTCAAGCAAAGGCTGTTCCTGCGCGCCCGAAGGCCAACATCGTGGCGCCTAAGCCAATCAGTCTGTTTGGTACACTGAGCTCGGCATCCAAGAGACCTGGAACCACCAATGCAGAGAGGGCTGCCGCTGCTGCCGCTGCCAAAACAGCGTATGTATCAACGTATCTTCAAGTCATAATCTTACTGACCTTTGCACAGTCCTGCCCCCAAAGAGAAGACGCCGCCACCAAAACCTGCATTCTCCTTCGGTGATCTGATGGCAGATCTCAACAAACCCAAAGAAACACCAGCTCCCAAGCCAGTCGAAGATCAACCACCCGAGACCGAAGAGGAACGCAGCAAGAGACTGCGCAAGGAAGAACGCCGCAAACTACGTGTGACCTGGAAACCCGATGATTCTCTTACCGAGGTCCGACTCTTCACCCACGACCCCGACGAAGAATTGGGCCCTGGTGATGGATCTGCACGTGGATTGGGAGATATCAAGGGCGAAGGCAGTGTGCTCAAGCTCCACAAAGATATGGATGAACTTGAAGAAGATGATCTTGGTGGCATGCGCGAGACCGTCTTCCAAGAATTCACTGGCCTGTCAGGTAGGTCATCTCTCCACCCGTTCCACAATTATTGTCTAATCATCACAGCCATCGATTTCGACTTTGAGGAACCCAAAAATGAGAGTTTCATTAAGCGCGGTGGTCCACAGATTCCAACCAGCCCAGAGAAGGAGGCCCAGGAGCACCGGGAATCCACGACACTCATGGTCTTCTACACATCTCCTGCAGAAATGCCTGCATCAGCCAAGGAGCCACCTACTCCTGATCCTGACGACATTGTTCACGATGAAGTGTCATTTGGAGAGCCTCCTGATCACATCAAGGTTTGCATTTCCTTGGTATTTGCAGCACTTCAATATTGACAAACTGCAGGCCCGAGAGGAACGCTACTACTCATATATCAACCCCAAGCCTGCGGCCGCACAACAGCCACAGCAACCTAACCCCACTGGTCCTGGCTATGATATTTCCAACTTACTCAACATCATTCAGAATGTGTCTGGACAGGCGCAAGCAACTCCTCCCCCAGCAACCCAGCCTGGCGCGATACTCGGTGTGGAGCAGACAATCAATATGTTCCGTCAACAGCAACAGCTCCAGCCTCAAGTGCCGGTAGTCCCACAGGTCCCCGCCGCTGGTCCCCAAACGATTGACTTCAATACGATCATGAATGTCATGAAACAAATGCAACCTGCATTTCCTCAGGCTCAATCGCAGCCAGCCATGGCACCCAACCTGGGCGCCATGTTCTCGCAATTCGGCGGTCAATTCCAACCACAGGGCCATGACTATGATGACCCAGAGCGCAAGCGAGGTCGCGAGACCCCACAGCATGACGGCGACTTTGATCCCCAATGGAGCCGCTCGAAGCGGACCAGGGTTACCGACAAACCAGTAAGAACACTGTCAGCTGGACTTTGATGAACATCTTGCTAACAATTCCGAAATAGTACAAGGTTGGACTCGTTGCCTGCAAATTCTGGGCCGAGGGAAAGTGTCGCAAAGGCGACAACTGTACTTTCCGCCACGATGCCTAGTGAGCCTGTCATACAATTTCTTTTCGACTGATACCCTCGTTCTTCGATTTCTGCAGCGGCAATCTCTATCTTTTCTGCCATTCTTCTATGCATTATTACCTGATTTTCCTTTGTCGTACTGGGTCATGGATATGCATTTTCACAACTAGAACTTTCTGGTTAGCGTTTACCACATGGGTGCGTTTCATGGTTTCATGGTCGGGAGGGCATATTTCAAGCACGTTGCATGTGTCCTGGGAGCGAAATCGCATTTCTCT